GAGGATAAGAGTTCGAATAATGTAAATAATGCAAGTAATCATAATACCTCATCTCAGAGATATACACAGAGAAATAGACAGAGAAATATGACATAAAGGCCGGAGCGTACAACGGCCGAAACGTTGTGAATATGGCAATGAAGATGAGGATAACAGTCCGAATAATATAAATAATGCAAGTAATCATAATACCTCATCTCAGAGATATACCTCACAGAGGAATAGACAGAGAAATATGACATAAAGGCCGGAGCGTACAACGGCCGAAACGTTGTGAATATGGCAATGAAGATGAGGATATCAGTCCGAATAATATAAATAATGCAAGTAATCATAATACCTCATCTCAGAGATATACACAGAGGAATAGACAGAGAAATATGACATAAAGGCCGGGAGCGTACAACGGCCGAAACGTTGTGAATATGGCAATGAAGATGAGGATATCAGTCCGAATAATGTAAATAATGCAAGTAATCATAATACCTCATCTCAGAGATATAGACAGAGGAATAGACAGAGAAATATGACATAAAGGCCGGAGCGTACAACGGCCGAAACGTTGTGAATATGGCAATGAAGATGAGGATATCAGTCCGAATCAGTCCGAATAATGTAAATAATGCAAGTAATCATAATATAATCATCTCAGAGATATATAATAGACAGAGAAATATGACATAAAAGGCCGGAGCGTACAACGGCCGAAACGTTGTGAATATGGCAATGAAGATGAGGATAACAGTCCGAATAATGTAAATAATGCAAGTAATCATAATACCTCATCTCAGAGATATACACAGAGAATAGACAGAGAAATATGACATAAAGGCCGGAGCGTACAACGGCCGAAACGTTGTGAATATGGCAATGAAGATGAGGATAACAGTCGAATAATAAAATAATGCAAGTAATCATAATACCTCATCTCAGAGATATACACAGAGGAATAGACAGAGAAATATGACATAAAGGCCGGAGCGTACAACGGCCGAAACGTTGTGAATATGGCAATGAAGATGAGGATATCAGTCCGAATAATATAAATAATGCAAGTAATCATAATACCTCATCTCAGAGATATACACAGAGGAATAGACAGAGAAATATGACATAAAAGGCCGGAGCGTACAACGGCCGAAACGTTGAATGAATATGGCAATGAAGATGAGGATATCAGTCCGAATAATATAAATAATGCAAGTAATCATAATACCTCATCTCAGAGATATACACAGAGGAATAGACAGAGAAATATGACATAAAAAAAAGGCCGGAGCGTACAACGGCCGAAACGTTGTGAATATGGCAATGAAGATGAGGATATCAGTCCGAATAATGTAAATAATGCAAGTAATCATAATACCTCATCTCAGAGATATACACAGAGAATAGACAGAGAAATATGACATAAAGGCCGGAGCGTACAACGGCCGAAACGTTGTGAATATGGCAATGTTTAGATGAATATCAGCAATAATATAAATAATGATGAATCATAACAGTCCGAAATAACAGAGAAAATGAATAAAAGGCAAGCGTCATAATAAACATCTCTGAAGATGAGGATATCAGTCCGAATATATAAATAATGCAAAATCATGACATCTCAGAAAGGCCGGAGAGTACAACGGAGCGTACAACGGCCGAAACGTTGTGAATATGGCAATGTGGATGAGGATATCAGTCCGAATAATATAAATAATGCAAGTAATCATAATACCTCATCTCAGAGATATAGACAGAGGAATAGACAGAGAAATATGACATAAAAGGCGGAGCGTACAACGGCCGAAACGTTGTGAATATGGCAATGTGGATGAGGATATCAGTCCGAATAATGTAAATAATGCAAGTAATCATAATACCTCATCTCAGAGATATACACAGAGGAATAGACAGAGAAATATGACATAAAAGGCGGAGCGTACAACGGCCGAAACGTTGTGAATATGGCAATGAAGATGAGGATAACAGTCCGAATAATATAAATAATGCAAGTAATCATAATACCTCATCTCAGAGATATAGACAGAGAATAGACAGAGAAATATGACATAAAGGCCGGAGCGTACAACGGCCGAAACGTTGTGAATATAGCAATGAAGATGAGGATATCAGTCCGAATAATGTAAATAATGCAAGTAATCATAATACCTCATCTCAGAGATATACACAGAGAATAGACAGAGAAATATGACATAAAGGCCGACAATGGCCGAAACGTTGTGAATATGGCAATAAAGATGAGGATATCAGTCCGAATAATGTAAATAATGCAAGCAAATACCTCATCTCAGAGATATACACAGAGAATAGACAGAGAAATATGACATAAATAAGCGTACAACGGCCGAAACGTTGTAATATGGCAATGTGGATGAGGATATCAGTCCGAATAATGTAAATAATGCAAGTAATCATAATACCTCATCTCAGAGATATAGACAGAGAATAGACAGAGAAATATGACATAAAAGGCCGGAGCGTACAACGGCCGAAACGTTGTGAATATGGCAATGAAGATGAGGATAACAGTCCGAATAATATAAATAATGCAAGTAATCATAATACCTCATCTCAGAGATATACACAGATAGACAGAGAAAATATGACATAAAGGAGGAGCGTACAACGGCCGAAACGTTGTGAATATGGCAATGAAGATGAGGATATCAGTCCGAATAATATAAATAATGCAAGTAATCATAATACCTCATCTCAGAGATATACACAGAGGAATAGACAGAGAAATATGACATAAAAGGCGGAGCGTACAACGGCCGAAACGTTGTGAATATGGCAATGAAGATGAGGATAACAGTCCGAATAATATAAATAATGCAAGTAATCATAATACCTCATCTCAGAGATATACACAGAGGAATAGACAGAGAAATATGACATAAAGGCCGGAGCGTACAACGGCCGAAACGTTGTGAATATGGCAATGAAGATGAGGATATCAGTCCGAATAATGTAAATAATGCAAGTAATCATAATACCTCATCTCAGAGATATACACAGAGGAATATAGACAGAGAAATATGACATAAAGGCCGGAGCGTACAACGGCCGAAACGTTGTGAATATGGCAATGAAGATGAGGATAACAGTTCGAATAATGTAAATAATGCAAGTAATCATAATACCTCATCTCAGAGATATACACAGAGGAATAGACAATATGACATAAAAGGCCGGAGCGTACAACGGCCGAAACGTTGTGAATATGGCAATGAAGATGAGGATATCAGTCCGAATAATGTAAATAATGCAAGTAATCATAATAACCTCATCTCAGAGATATAGACAGAGGAATAGACAGAAAATATGACATAAAGGCCGGAGAGTACAACGGCCGAAACGTTGTGAATATGGCAATGAAGATGAGGATATCAGTCCGAATAATGTAAATAATGCAAGTAATCATAATACCTCATCTCAGAGATATACACAGAGGAATAGACAGAAAATATGACATTAAAGGCCGGAGCGTACAACGGCCGAAACGTTGTGAATATGGCAATGTGGATGAGGATATCAGTCCGAATAATGTAAATAATGCAAGTAATCATAATACCTCATCTCAGAGATATACACAGAGGAATAGACAGAGAAATATGACATAAAAGGCGGAGCGTACAACGGCCGAAACGTTGTGAATATGGCAATGAAGATGAGGATATCAGTCCGAATAATATAAATAATGCAAGTAATCATAATACCTCATCTCAGAGATATACACAGAGGAATAGACAGAGAAATATGACATAAAGGCCGGAGAAGTACAACGGCCGAAACGTTGTGAATATGGCAATGAAGATGAGGATAACAGTCCGAATAATGTAAATAATGCAAGTAATCATAATACCTCATCTCAGAGATATAGACAGAGAAATATGACATAAAGGCCGAAGCGTACAACGGCCGAAACGTTGTGAATATGGCAATAAAGATGAGGATAACAGTCCGAATAATGTAAATAATGCAAGTAATCATAATACCTCATCTCAGAGATATAAACAGAGATATAGACAGAGAAATATGACATAAAGGCCGGAGAGTACAACGGCCGAAACGTTGTGAATATGGCAATGAAGATGAGGATAACAGTCCGAATAATGTAAATAATGCAAGTAATCATAATACCTCATCTCAGAGATATAGACAGAGAAATATGACATAAAGGCCGGAGAGTACAACGGCCGAAACGTTGTGAATATGGCAATGAAGATGAGGATAACAGTCCGAATAATGTAAATAATGCAAGCAATCATAATACCTCATCTCAGAGATATAGACAGAGATATAGACAGAGAAATATGACATAAAGGCCGGAGAGTACAACGGCCGAAACGTTGTGAATATGGCAATGAAGATGAGGATAACAGTCCGAATAATGTAAATAATGCAAGTAATCAAAATACCTCATCTCAGAGATATAGACAGAGATATAGACAGAGAAATATGACATAAAGGCCGGAGAGTACAACGGCCGAAACGTTGTGAATATGGCAATGAAGATGAGGATAACAGTCCGAATAATGTAAATAATGCAAGTAATCATAATACCTCATCTCAGAGATATAGACAGAGAATTATGACATAAAGGCCGGAGAGTACAACGGCCGAAATGTTGTGAATATGGCAATGAAGATGAGGATAACAGTCCGAATAATGTAAATAATACAAGTAAATTGTAATCAGATAGAATCTGTTAAACCGCTATGATAATTTGTTGTTGAAGAACAGACGCCGATGCGGATTTCTAGCTAAAAATTCAAAGCAGTTCTTACAATTTCTTTTACTATACTGAAGGCAGCCGAAGAAAAATCTCTAATATAAGAAACAAGGAGGAGGAAAATTTTCGTTTAAATCTGCTTGTGGGTAGATCTTTCGTTCTAATATTGGTGTAGAGCTACAGTAATTTCACTTAAGTAACTCTAAACTTGCACGGAAATAGTGGCCGATAAAACATGCATCAAAATGTCGAGCTAATGATTTCTGTGCCAGGGGAGACAACCAGCGGACACTCGCCATATAATGAGGAGATCGGATCAGCAGTCCTGAAACGGATGTGGCGGGGTGATCAAAGAATTGTTCAAGTATCCTTGTACTGGTGTGATGTATGGGACGAAAAGTTAATGCATATATATATATATATATATATATATATAGGGGTTGGATAAAATAATTGGAACACTTGTTAAATTCAAAGAAAATGTATTGAATATGGAGTTGGTCCTCATTTAGCCTTACAGACAGCATTAATACGTCTAGGAATGGAATCATACAACTTCCTGACTTTATCCAGAGGAATTTTCAGTCATTCTTCCATTAAAACCTTCTCCAGCTCCTTACGACATGTGGAGGATAGCGGCTCCTAAATTGTTGCTCCAAAATGCACCGCAAATGTTCAATAATATTGATATCTTGAGATTGGGGAGGCCACTCCATGTGTTCTAGCTCACTTTCAGGCTCTTCATACCAATTCTTAACTACTCGAGCGGTATGTATTGGAGCATTATCGTCTTGGAAGATGCAGTCGCCATCAGGGAATAAAGTCTTGGCCATTGGATGAACATGATCTCCCAAAATGTTCAGGTAATCTTTGCTGTTGATTCTACCATGCAGGGCAACTATTGGACTGAGACATTTCCATGATATTGCGGCCCAAACTATCACTGATCCACCTCCATGCTTCACTGTTGGAAGAAGGCAGTCAAGGTTGTAAGCTTCTTTGGGCAGCCTCCACACAAAAAGTCGTCCGGGAGTTGGGAAAAGAGAAAAACTGGACTTGTTTAAGAATATGACTTGTTTCCATTGTTCTGCAGACCAGGCATTGTGATCTCTGCACCACTTCATCCACTTTTGTATATTGCAAGTGGAGAGAAGAGGTTTCCTCACAGCGGCTCTTCCATGATATGCAGTCTTATGAAGCTTACGGTGAACAGTTTTAGAAGAAACTGGCCTATTCAGATGGTTATTCAACTCAGCAGTCACTTTGGCCAAATTTGGTCCGATGATTTTTTTCCACATTGGGTTTCAATGCAAGTCAGTCCCTGTCAGTAACTTTGCAAGTCCGGCCCGAATTGCTACTGTTGCTACAGGTCTTGCCCTGTTTCTTGAATTGCATCAGTGTTCTTGATATGGTAGATCTTGAAAAACCAAACATTTCAGCAACCTTAGTGATCGAGGCTCCTGCAATACGAGCTCCAACAATTTGCTCTTTTTCGAACTCAGAGAGGTCACGCATTTAGCTTAAATTTTACTAAATTCTAAAAATAAATAAGACAAAGACAGTAGATTAGATAAATAAACGTATTTACAATAGATATAACCTGCAATTACTGTTTTCGTTAAAGTTCTTAATATAATAGGTCTTTGAATAGGAGTGGATTTTGCTACAGTTCAATTATTTTGTCCAACCCATATATATATATATATATATATATATATATATATATATATATATATATATATAGTTTATGCAAATTTAGGTAATCCGTATGGGTAGACCTGAGGAGAATGATATCCAGAGAGCTCAATGTAAAATTCAGAGCAGATATGTTTGAATAAAAGACAGACCACGTTAAGATTCCATGTAATAAGCTATTTCACCATAACCCCTTTAACAGGGTTCTGGATCATCAGACTTTACTTCCAAAAGCTGAAATACAAAATGAAAAGAAATTCACGTTTTTTACGGACCTCATCAAGTATACGCAAAGTTAACGAAGTGAGGAAGTGAGGTGGGAGAGGGATATGAGTGTGTCATATGTATCATTTTAGTTTCCTATTTTAACCCCAGTGTGTCGGCTGGATGTTGCTCAAATTTAACGCGATCGTCTCTAGATAAAAAAGGTGGCTAAGGGTTAGCAATAAGGACTACATTAAGGAAGACGTTCCAACAACCCCAATAAATTAGACGACAGGTTTCATTCAAATTCTTAGACGCTGTCAGTTCGCGTTACTTTAACGTGCATATTTGGGAGGTTAAGGTTTGATAAATATCTAAATTTTAAAGACACTACGAAGAAATTAATTTGAAATTCGGTGGAGTTTTGAGTATTTTCTATGAAGCAGTCGATTGGAAAAAACCCATAGACAGAACATTGAAAGAATAATCCCATTTATATTTAGTACTTTTTCCACTAAAACTTTTATCTTATAGCTTGTTAGGTTGACATTTATTCGTTTGATTTTTGTTCATTAAGTAAACTCGTGATTGTTTTTTTGATTTTTTGTTCATTAAGTAAACT